ATATCAGAATCTGCTGCCCCTGTAGATCCTGCCACCCAAGACAGTTGCCTCACCTTGCCTCATGGGTGGACTGGCCCCTGTATGAATTTCCTCCAAGTGACCAAGCAGAAAACTTTACAAAAAGTGGGTTTCCGCTACTGGACTTTCAAGCCACAAATGACTGACACAAGTTACTGTCAGTGGTGAAAATGTTTGTGGCCACGCTTTTCCTTAGAAACTTGTAAACATTGATTTCCTTCATTTCAAGCCTCTCCTTTTAAATACCACTGAGACACCAACTTATAACTGCACACTGGAAAATGCATTTGCAGACCCATCTGATACAGTAAATGCACCTCTCATTGAAAATGTTCAGGTAACGTTACTCTTACCAAGACAGGCAATTATTGTAATAGTCAGTGTACATTTGCATTGTACATTGCATAATGATTGGCTATGACTCTATCATAACATGGAAGAAGCTGCATCAGCTAGGGCAAGTGGAGCTTAAGCAGCAATCTCCAGCAAAAGTACAAACTGATACTTTCTCTATCCTATAGATACATTCAGGAGTTTACAAAACGGTGTGAATCTACAGAATTTAAGAATGCATTTTATTTTCCTTAACAATTTGTTGAACTTTATGATGAGTGCCAGAACACACACAAATGCTGTTTACCTTCCCGCCACAGTGGTACCTATTTATCTACTTGCGCTGGTATGCTTTTGAACTGCTAGGTTGGCAGAAGCTGGGACAGAGCAACGGGAGCTCACCCTGTCGCTAGGATTCAAACTGCTGACCATCCAATCAGCAAGCCCACGAGGCTCAGTGGTTTAGACCACAGCGCCACCTTTAACCCTCCCCCCAGCCACACTATATGATTGCCATGAACACATAAAGAGAAAGAACAAAGCTTTGAACTTGAGGATTTGTTGTGAAGGCAAACTTGTCTGACAAAGGGCATTCTGGCTAGAATCATGCATTGCTCTATTACAAACATTTCACTTGCACAAGCATTGCAGCGTGACAGGTGGAATTATCCTCTACCCTCTCCTCCCACACTGTGCTGGGTGCTCTTCTAACACCCCCCACCGAGACAATTTCAGGGGTGCAGGAGGAGGAGAGGGGGAAGCCCATTTTCCCTGTGGAAGCCCTTGCACCGGTCTTCTGTTGATGGCGTTTGTTAGGTGAGTCCCACCCTCTGGTTCTAACTGTAGGGACTTCAATGGGGAACCAAGGTTCATACAGTGAAAAAAAAACCATGAGCAGTGCTAGCCCCAATCTCCACAAACACACACCACCCATCCTAATAATGGACAATTGGTTAGTAAGTAGATTAAGACCACAATCCAGTGTAGTAATAAGAATAGCAACAGTACATATTGGAAGACAGAGGCAGCACTGCTCATTTCATTTGTTTCTGTGTGCAATGCGCATAACACTGGGCTTGCACTTTCCTGTCTCCTCGCTCTGGAACTGTTCAGACATGACTTTAGAATGCAGTGAAGGCTCATGAAGAAGAGCAGGGATCATGCAGAGAAACTATGCACACACCGTTTTTGTAGAGTCTCTTTAGCAGCTATGCTGAAGGTGCAGAAGAGGAAGAACCAGGAAATACAATCCTGCTCCTGCCCCCCAGCACACACACACCATCATGTTCATTCTACCCCAATTGAATACCTGCACAATCCTACCCCTGAGTATAGGGGTAGTGTATAGCTGGGTAGTGTTTTATTTTTATTTTTTAGGCTTCCACACCAGTGTGTGAAAATGACTTCTTTTGCCAGTTACTGTTGCTACAATATTCCTGATGACGTTTCCTCTTCACCTAGTTTACGAGGAAAAACAACAGATAACAACAGCTTTATGCCTTTGAAAAAGCAACACCTGAGAATCTGAAGAGGCTTGCTATAGCACATAATTGGCTGGAAAGGTCCCAGAATTGATTACTCTGGGCCAAGCCAGAGAGGCCAATTGGGGCTTATAAGGGCACCATGAAGAATCACTGTTTCCTCCTAAGCAGAGATGGCAGATAAAGTTCACCGAGTGAGTGTTGGACTGCAAAAGTGCAACTACAGCTCCTGGTTACAAGAAGAATCTGATTACTTTCCCTCCATTGGTCCTGACAGTCTAGAATGGTAAAAAAGCAGAACTTGGGGAGGGGGGTGGATACAGAGCTATTCTTCAACCATTGAGATGACAAGGAAAAAGCATCCCTTTGTTAACTGTATTGCTAATACAGACTTTGTTTTTTTTTCTATTTGCATGATGTTCAGTTGCTTCATAATGGAAGGAGGTTTCCTTTCCTTGAAGGCAATAAACCTTGAGTGGGGTAACATTCTTGTTATTTAATGGCAAGATAGAGCCTAATCAGTAGGGAGAGTCATCAGATTCTGGAGCATACTGACTCCTGAGCCAAGGTGAGGTGTCTTGGCGGAATTATGGTCTTGTCCAAAATGAAACAAGACCTGAGCAATGCAGCAGGTGTCAAAACAGCAACACCCAAAGCACATGAGGACACCTTGGAGGACCAGGCATAAAAAGATGCTGTGGATGAGGAAAGCATCTATTGACAGCAAACTATGTCTCTAAGCTTACCATATAAGGAAAATGTCAGGGAAGAAGATGGAGCTGCATTGCAAAACTGAAACTTGAAACTGAAAATTAAGTCTCTAAGCTTACTATGTAAGGAAAATGGCTGGGAGAAAAGAGGGAGCGGCATTGCAAAAAAATAAACTTGAAACTCAAATTTATGTCTCTCGCTTAAGGGAAATGCCAGAATGGGGGGGGGGGGCTTCAAATTAGAAGAAAGAGTCTGAAAAAATATCAGGAAGAACTTTCAGGTGCTAAGAGCCATTCGACTCTCCATCCCTGAAGGTTTTGAATCAGAGGTTGGATGGCCACCTGTCTTGAATGTTTTAGTTGAGATTCCTGCATTGCAGGGGGTTGGACTAGATGACCCTAGAGTCCCTTCCAACTCTTCAATTCTATGATCCAGCAGTCCCTATCATGCTCACAGCTTCACCTGTTCCTCATCTTTCCCCCATTTAAGCATGGGTCTTCTTAAAGTGGTTTCAGCCAATCAGATATAACAAAAGCAATGAGATTACTTCACACTCCCACATTCTAAGCCAACCATATTCAGCAATATAGTTATTCTTAGGACTGAGTTGCAAGGAGCAACATTTCCCGCACAACTGAAGTTTAAATGCTTTTAGAAAATAACTGAAAGTAACTAGGAAAAGGAAATAACATGATCAGCTACTTTCTCTTCCACAAGAAAATTGGGGGGGGGTGTTAAGCTTTTTCTCCTTGGGTCTGCAAAAGGTTAATTTCCAGGGTCTCTCGGGTAACTGCTTCTGAGCATTTGTGTGTGAACAGAACATTAAGACATCTCTAGAGAAAAATCCCAGCTCAATTAGGTGCTCAAGGATGCCAGGAAGAAAGACTTTAAATCCTGTTACACAAAATGAATGATTGAAGGCATGAGTGTGGGAAACTGCTGATGACTCAGGAAAGACTGCCTGCACTACCACCACCAACATGTATCCATCACTAGTGCTTCCCTTTTCAAGCAACACCTTTCCAAGACAAAATACATAAGTGAAAAGCAACAAGCAAGCAAACTTTTTAAAAACTGCCAATATATCTAATTCTGACACTTTGCATTCACCCCCTTAGATAGGCAAATTGGCTCTGCACTAGGGGAAAAGCCTCTCTACTTCCTTCCTTCCTTCCTTCCTTCCTTCCTTCCTTTCCCTGGTTTTTACAGCAACTGCACAGAATGTGATAGATACGGTTCTGGGCTGAGTGATAGCACTGTCTGTGTGTTCGCCTGTAAAGCTGAGTGTAGAGGCTCCATTAACAATCCTGTGAGACTAACTTGAGGCGTGGCACTACTCTTTAAGATGATGCAACTTTACACTGATTTTTTAAAAATCATACAGCTATTTTAAAAGTAAGCATCTTGGAATCAGAGCATTTTAAAGTTGGAAGGTACCCTGAGGATCATCTGGTCCGACCCTCTGCAATGCAGGAATAGGCAGCTGTCCCATAAGGGGCTTTGAACCTGCAAGCTTGGCGTTATCAGCACCACACTCTAACCAAATGAGCTATCCATTGCCCCAAAGTTTGTTGGAAAGCAAAATCAATCCCAGGTCAGTTGTATGTGTGGCAGAGCCAAAGGCCAGCTTGCCTGGTCCTGAATTTCTCTATCCCTCTGAATTCACTGCTTTTCCTAAAATGTTTTAGATTACTTTATTCTTATGAATGCATGCTTTTTCAGTTTTGCAAAAAAAGAAGTGGCTGTTAGGCCAGGTCATGGTTAGACACGTGTCTCACAAACCCGAGAAATGGATTCACTCTGGGGATGCTGGGTGCCTCATCATGTTGAATTAAAGCACCAAGCAGAAGCCCCTCGTGATCTCTGAAGGATGTTGCTCTCTAGTTTTGTAAGTGACATCTTTAGCCATGTCACTTACAAAACCACAAAGCTCTGTTTGACAAAGGCCTCGTTTTCAATCATCCAGCTGCTTCGGGCACTGCAACTTTTGAAACTGCTGTTATTGTGCACAGAAGGATGAAATAAAGATGCCTAGAAGGTTTGCTGTTGACATTGCCAGGTTTAAGCAAATCACATTGACTTGACTTTTCAAGGCTTCCGGCTTTACCTGGCAAATAAGGAAAACATCTCACAGCTGTGAATGTGCCTTTATGGAAAGCTGAAAAGGATATACACATCTTCACTATCCGATACTTCGGCATTTTTAAAGAATGGGGACTGCACCAACTAATAAATTATGTTGTGTGTAGTTCCACAGAGGCCAGCGCAGGCAGTATTACCTTACAGCCAGGTGACTAAGCAGGAAATCAAGATATTCAGAGCCACATGAACAAGCACTGGGGGAATATATACACTGCAGTCTTATATCAGTTTTATACCAGTTTAACTCTCATGGCTCACCTCAGGGAATCTAAGAATTGTAGTTTGATGTAGGTGCTCTAAATTACTTGCTCCAAATGACCATAAAACCATTTCATTCATTGGTGTCAGTACAGCCTGCCTGACCCAGACTTTGCCACCCAGGACCACAGGGACCACAGTGGCAGATTGTTGTGCAGATCAGTGCATTTTCACATGACCAGCTCTCACCTGCTGTTAATAGATTTCATTATTGTTCCAGGTTGTCACTGCATAGAATCATAGAGTATGGACAGAGAACCGCAGAGGGTGCACCAGTTCAACTGCTTGCCAAGCAGGAAACACCATCAGAGCACTCCTGACATATGTGTCTGTCAAGCCTCTGCTTAAAGACCTCCAAGAAGGAGACTCACCACACTCCTTGGCAGCAATTCCACTGTCGAACAGCTCTTACTGTCAGGAAGATTCTTCACTAACGTCTACTAGGTGGAATCTTCTGATTGTTGTCCAAGTCCATAGGAGACCACATCTGCCTATCTCTGATCCACAGGCCACAGAGACCTCACCTGTACTCCAAGAATTCTCACATATTATAGACAGATGCTCTGAGATTACACCCACAAGCTCCTCTTCTCCAGTACCTTGACATGCCCAGCTCTTTAGACGCTAGACTCATGAGGCATCGTTTACAGCAGCTCTGTGTTCCTTGACCATCTTGGTTGCCCTATCTCTGGCATGCACGTTCCAGTCCTTGTCAACGTCCATTCTTGAGTGTAGTGCACCAGAACTGGACACAGCTACTCCAGGTGAGGTCTGACCAGAGCAGAATACAGTGGTCAGCAATTCTGCCTTCTCTCTGTCACCTAGATAGCTATATTCTTCATCTGATGCAGCACAGAGGACTTGCCACTTGGCTTCTTCTTCCTGCTTGCTTCAAACATAGCTGAAGAAACCTCATGTAAGTTTGTAGCCTCATCGCAAGACCTGAGCTCATTCTGAGCATTGGCTCACCTGACCTTTCCTTGCCAGGTGTCCGCTACTCTGTGTATACTGTAAACTTCCTTCATGATTTCCCCTTTCTTTCCTTTGTTATACATGCCATTCTTAACTCTCAGCTCAACTGTAAGTTCCTTATGCATCCACACTGATTTCTTTAGATGCCTCCCACTTTCTTTCTTGTTAGAGTGTGATCCTGTCCTCTGGTGTCTTCAGCATTTCACCCTTCCCAAACTCCGATCTCATCTGCGGACTTGCATCAGGACTGCATTACTTGCAGTCCATCACCTAAGTCACTGTGATGCTAGGAAACAAGGCTAAACACACCATATTCCAACAGTACCATTATAGTCCTTACAACGTCAGAGCACATCTCCATATGGTAGGATGCTAGAAGAGGGCCCCTTCCACCCTTTAACTCATCTTGCAAGCAACAAACAGGCATTCTTTTATCATTATAGGTTGGCTCAGATACTTAACAATGAAATACAATGCCAGGGCTGCATGAGGTTTCTTTACTGGTCCCAACTGGATTTGGGGCTAAAAGACCATGGGAAAGTGTGGGTACATGAAGGGCAGGTTGCAAACAAGCACAATTTGTGACATTGCACAACATCACATCTGATGACAGGGCTCATCTGTTGGGACATCCACTTTAACTGCCAGTGTCCTGGATTTGTGGACTTTGAACCAACATGAGAAAGCCTTAACTTTCATCTTAAACCTGCAGGGTTTTGGTTTTGTTTTGTTTTGTTTTGTTTTTGTTAGAAACATAATTGCCAGAAGGTATCGTTGTAGAAGAGTGTCACTAAGAAGGTTCAGAGGAGAATGGCTAAGAGTCTTGATGGGATCCTGGTTAAAAACGTAATCATGCCAGAAATTCAGCTTGAATATACTGAACGCACACTTAGAATGTGTAGCAGCCTCATAGTTTATATTCCTTGTGAGCATCTTTCATGTTTCCATTAAGCCCTACAAAATGCTTGAACTGTGGAAACCACACAGTAATTACCTATCTTCATAAAGAAGTTAATTCTAAACACATTACTAATTACTGGTCCATCTCAAATTTTGTCTACAGTATGCAAATCACTAGAAAAGTAAATTACTGTTGGCTTGTCCCCTCTCTGTACAAAATGGATTACAATGTGTTGACAACCCTTTATTAACAGCCAAAAAAATATCTCTGCAATTACACATCAGTAGCAAGTACTGCTATGGGTCACATTTATTATTAACAAAGATGTTGTGCATTATCATTATTATTAATCACTTTTATAGAGCTTGATTGCTTTACAAAATGGGCTCAGTTTCATCCTCAGCGGAGTTACAAGAATGCTAATGTGCTAAAGGGGGAAGCTGGAACATCTCAGGCTGAAGGGCAAGAGCAACCCAGAATGCACCTTGGCAGCATGCAGAACATCCTGGGGAACCAAGCCATCTCTAATTGCCCAGATGTGGATACTGTAAAATAAAGTGGATCAATTTCGTACTCTGCAACGACAGAATACAAACATGTTTTTTCCAAAGAGATTGAAGCAAAGGAAGGTCTTGAAGTTAAGCTAGATCTGAAGGAAAACAGAAGGTAGGGGGGGAATTAACGAATCTGCCTGTCTAGTAAGCAGAGCAGGTCACAAATTTATGAAATAATACATTATGGGCTGCTTCAAATGATACGTCTGTACCCCAGAAATGTGCTTTTTGCCACTTTAGAAGACAGGTGAGGATCTTTTTGGATTGGATTGGATTGGATTGGATACCCAGTGGTGGGTGACACAAGAGGCAAATGTGGGTGGAGCAACAGATTTGTTTTATTCATTTATTTATAAAACTGTATACATATACAACTGTATCACAATGATATATCACTATCTATTACAACAATATAACAAAATAAAATCAAACAATACCATCATAGGAAAGCTAAAAGCAGGTTAAAAACCAAGTGCCATTGTGAGGGATGTGACCCTCGTATGTGTAGGCTACACCCCAGCCATGCAGAAGCCAGAGGTTTCTGAGCACAGACACATACCTCTCCCTAGCTAGGTGTCAGACGTCAGGGAATCCAGTGACCAATATCTTTTATTCAATGTTCACAGAGAGAGGCTGAGAAATGTCACCTCTCAGTAATGGCGTTACTCCGAGTAATCTCCTCCCCCCCATTCCGTCTCAGTCATCAACAGCACTACTCCCCTTATGGTGGCGACTTAAGGCCATTTGCCTCTTAGCTCTCTGCTCTACCACTTTCACTGCTCGCCAGGTTCTGGGAGAAGGGCAGTCCAGAATGCTTTCTAATGATAACATGTCAGCCAGATGCTCTGGCTCTGCTGCTCCCCACTCCTCTTCTCCCATTATCTCCCAGCATTGTCCCTCTTCTCTCTCTGGGCCGTGACCTTCTGCAAACCACTGTTGTAAATCTATACTATCTTCCTCTTCTCAGGAAGTTTCAGGAGGGGTGGGGTGGTCTCCACCATTCCTCCTCAGTCCCGTCCCTGACATCACCCCCCTCTCTAAAGCCCTCCTCCTCCTTCCACCTGGTGGTTTTGGCCAGTTGAGGTGGCAAGTATGAAATGCCCTTTGCAAGTCTGGTGCATGAACATGTTCTGCATACTCCCATGATCTTTCTTCTGGCCCATACCCCTTTCACATAATCAAGTCTTGCAACTTTTTTCTTCACAGTTGAGAGTCTAGAATTTGCTCTACTTCATACTCTTCCTCTCCTTCTACCACGAAGGGAGGTGGAGGTGATTGTCTAGGTGCCTGGTAAGGGTGTGCAGGCACAACTGGTGACAAAACTGATCTGTGGAAGACGGGATAAATCTTCATGGATACAGGCAATCAGAGCCTGAAAGTTAAAGGATTGATCTGGTCTATCACTTCAAACAGGCCCACTCTCTGAGGTTCTAGTTTCCTGCATCTGCCCTTTTGGGCAAATCACATGTTGACAGCCACACCTGATCTCCCATCTTCATCTCACTGCCAGGTTGTCGGTGAGCATTGGCTGATCTCTTATAGACTCCTTAAAGGTAAAAAGGTAAGGGTACCCCTGCCCGTATGGGCCAGTCGTGTCCGACTCTAGGGTTGTGCGCTCATCTCACTTAAGAGGCCAGGAGCCAGTGCTGTCCGGAGACACTTCCGGGTCACATGGCCAGCATGACAAAGCTGCTCTGGCGAGCCAGCACCAACGCAGCACACGGAAACG